CGTGGACGTGGATGGCGCCACCACGATCCTGCAGAACCCGCCAGAGATGGCGATTGAGTCTGGCAAGGGCAAGGCGGGGTAGGGAGATGCGGCATGTTGGGTGGGTGGCGTTGGGTGAGGTTGGGCGAGGTTGGGTTGGGTGGGGTTGGGTTCTCTGTTGTTGGGTGGTTGGGAGGCTGAGAGTGAGAGGTTGGGAAGGCGCTGGCTGGAACTTGGAACCGCTGAAAATCCATGTCTCAGGTCCTCTCAAAACATGTTGCACGGGGGTTGACTAAATGTGGCAGTGGCTCAAAATTACAGAGCTAGGGTTACGCAGGTTTTGGTCCATGTTTCCACTTGCCAGGGTTCCATTTTGGTACTGGTTTTGTGAGCCATACCCATGTGGACCATCGACCATAATTATTTGCCAAGTAGTTTGTGGCGCCGTGGAGTGGGGGGCGGCGGAGAGGGTGCGGGGTGCTGCTAGAAGCTGAAGGTGAGCAAGTACGCCTCCTGCTTACACGAAACGTGATGATGTGGGTTCCTTCAAAAGGAAGTTGAACTTCGAGGTCTCCTACGGGTGCTATGTTGTGGAGGAAGTGTAGAGTTGTGTCAAGAAACTTCGAATAATGTCCCGATGGGCGAAGAGGTGCTTGAAACAGGGTGTCAGGACAGCTCTCCTCCCCCCGTTTGGAGGCCTTTGAAGTGTCTCACATTCCCCGCCATACGGACCCGTCTCCAATCCTAGCCCCAGTGTCTTTCGAAGAGGACACCAGTTGGACGGCGAAACCATGGGCTTCAATTTTCGGTGTCCCAGACTCCTCATTTTTCTTCTTCTCCCCATACCGTTTGAAGCGTCAAAGGCCACGCTCTCTTCCAACCAGTCCCCCAAGAAGGAAACAGGTGTCCTACTTGCCCAGTTCTCACCTTAACGTGTCTCCAAACCAACAGTACGAATTTCGGAACCTGAAAGGGGCCCGGTCCCAATGGGACTCTCTTGGCTGCACCTTTGGAGGCACCAAGCTGTGTCAAAACTCGGGAGTCTTTGGACGCGTTCGAGGAGCTAAGTTTACGCGCTTTGACTGAACAAGCCAGGTATGTGTCAACAGTCAACATAGCCGGACCCAACGAACGGCGTCGACTTTCCTTCAGGTTTCCAGAAAAATATAAACCAACCTCAAAATGGTGCCCTCAAGATAACAAAGAAACAAGCTTATTTCATCGTTCTGGGTAAATCACGAAGCTTCGCAGGAGGCTAAGAAGTTCACCTTTGACGCCTCCTTCTGGAGCCGGGTGGCGCGGGTGTTTGACGTAAAGTACACCCTGTGGCTTGGGGTTTGGTTTTTGCCTTGCCTTTAGCTACCAGCAGGTCCATTTTCCCAGAGGCTCCCGATGTATTTAGGGCCCTCAAACAGCCAGGTTTTGAGACCCCCAAACACCTCGGGGTGTCAAATGGAGGGGTCGGGTCTTCCATTGAAAGCCGAAGCCAGGAGCCTCTGGGTTGAGAAAACCCGGATGGGAGTTTCTCTTAATCTGTGCGTTTTGCCTTACCAAGCTGAAAGGGTCTCTCCGAAAACACCCAGGGGGTGAGGAAGCAGAACTCAGGGATCCGAAGAGTCCAACCAGCATTGGTTGGCTGTGTCCCTTGTGTTGAGCCGGTTGATTTGGTGCGGTTCTCTAGAAACACCGAAGGACCAAGCCAAAACAAGACGTGTCGCACCACTTGTGGCAATGCCATCTCAGCAAACCCCAAAAGATCTCTCAGGAACTTAGCTTCCACTGATCCATTTTGGGGCACTTCATCCGCGTCCAAAGACTCCACGGATTCTTTGGCGCATTTTGCTCGGATGTTAGGACCTTAACTTTTTGCCAACGAATGGGCTTTCCATTAAACCACTAAAAGTCAAGCAGGGGAGCAAATGGTTGTTGTTGGGAAACATTTACGTTTGTGCTTATTGTGGTTTAGTGGTTGAAATCCAACCACTGAACTGCTAAAGTCCAATTTGTTGCTCCCCTTCCAACTCCAACCAAGAGCAGAAAGCGACTCCGAGGAGTTGATTGTTTTGCCCACCGAGGCCACGACGGCTTCGACGTGGACAGCGAGGGATACTGCTTCGCCGCTCCGGGCAGCAGGCGGAGGGTTTTTTGAAGCTCCTCGCCTTCCATTTGCTGAAATGAGTATTTTCTCCTAGGCCCCCCAGTAGTGATCGTTTTAGTTGGTTTAGTGGTTGGATTTCAATGAATTTACCCCACTAAAAGTTGAACTCACTCTTAGCAGGGGATCTGAAAACGGCCAGCCCAGTATGGTTTCCTTTAAGGGACTCCCCTTCCGGTTCATCCCAGCACCCGGAAACTCGGTCATTCCCTATCGCACCAGCAAGTCATTGGTTGAAAAGGATGGGGAATCAACCCCGTCACACGACCTCGCACGACCCCAAATGGGGGTTTATGTGGGGAACAGCCCCCAAACCACCTTATTTCAGGCTGGTGAAACATTATACTAGGTCACCCAGTAGTGCCCTTTTACCCGTGTTTGGGGCAGGGTTCCCCTACTAAAATAGACTACAGAAAAAAGTTGGTACCCTTATTCTAACCTCTCTACTGACAGACCTAGTATAATTCACCCAGTAGAATGGCCCATGGCATTATTGCGATCTTCGAGTGGCCAGGTACGCAGATCAGAGGACGGTGTTCGAAACCTTCGGGCGCCGAATCCTGGACAGCGCACGGGCCCAAGGGGCCATACAGGTACAGCCATCGGGGGAGCTGGTTAGCCTGGGGGAGGGTATGGGGTGTGGGGGGGGGCTTTTTTTTCTGATGCCCGCTTGCCCTTGGGAGCTTTTGCTCGATCATAGATTGCCAGTTCGTGCACTCGGCTCGCCGGTTTCGATTTCTGGATCAGAGATCAGGGTGGCGTGGGAATTGAAGCGCTGATTCTGGCAATTTGGCTCGGTCAGCTTTCCAGAAACCTGCCAAGTCGAGTGCCAGGTTTCCTATTGGCGGTTTGATATCCAACCGAGCAAATTGACTCTGTGAGTGGAGCTTTTTGCTTTTGCTGCTGCCAAGAAGGGGTTCTGGGTTTCATGTGACTTGGTAACCGCCAAAGAAAAGCTGACAAGCATTTGGGGCCGGGCCTGCGACATGCGTCCCCGAAACCGATTGAGCTTTGTTGTTGCCCGTTTTATCTCCTATACAGGAGAGGCAACATAGAAGACATCTGCCTCACAGAAAAGGATTAGATCTCAACCTTTAGATTTGATCCGAAGCTTCGTGTTCAACCTTTTGGCGGTGGGTCGTACTGCGGCTCCGTACTTGGCAAGTGGCTGTCTTGCCCTGCTTTCAAAATTGATCGCTGTTAGTTCCTCCTCAAATGGATTGTAGTCAGGGTTAGAGATTTCGTTAGGTTTGTTTTTGTTTTATTTGGTGCAGAAGCACTTGGTTCTTCAGCTTCTGAACAGACACGACAATTTTGTAAAACTTTGGCGTTTGCATGTAAGTAACAATCATTTGGATCATGAAACTCCCAATTCTGACGCACGCACTTCCTGGTCATCTCCACATCGGTTAGCTAACTTTACCTATTGGTTGGAAAATCGATTGTTGCTCACTGTCTTAAAACAAAGGCTCCCAAAAAGTGGATTTCGTTTCCCCTTTGGTTTCTCTTCAAGGCAGGCCCCAAAAACCAGGGAAGTTGCCTTCAAAAGGACTCCAACTCCCCATAAATTTGACTTGTGAGAAATGAGGGAAGAAACCACGTGTGAGAAATATAGGCTTCACCCTACCATTCCCCCATTCCAGGGACCGCCCGATTCTCGGAATATGCGGCGATTCGGCGATCGGGGAGGTGATCAATATTCCATTTAGGGCCCCCAGTTTTGACAGTGGGTAACTTTCACATGGTGAATGAAATATGTTTCCAACCAACATGTATCCAACCATGGGCAACTTTTGCGAATATATTTGCGTGATTTTCCAACCAATTGCCACATGGTATCGCGGATCTTCTGATCAACGCCCCCCCCCCCCCCGTCTTTTTCAGGCCTGGGAGGGCTATCACTGCTGCCTTTTCGCCTACGGCGGCGCGCTGAGATTGAGAAGAACACCACGTCGCTCCAGAGTTGTTTTTTGTTGAACATGCGTGTGTGTGTGTGTGTGTGTTGTGTGTGTGTGTGTGTCTGTGTGTCTGTGTGTTGTGTGTTGTGTGTGTGTGTGTGTTTTTTTGTTTTTCCGGTAACAAAAGAAACAGGCGGATCCTCCGGGTCGACGGAGGTTTTTAGTTGTTTTACATTGTCCATTGTGTGGGTGTTTCGTTGTTTCAGTTGGTTTAGTGGTTGGGTTTTCATTGGGTGGGTTTCCATATTCACCCACTAAAAGTTCATGACTTTTAAGGGTTTCAGTTTGGACAGCCCAGATATGGATGTGTTCTTGCTTTTTTAAGGGGCCGAAAAGAGGGTGCCACCCCCTCCCCCCTCAGAAAACAGACAAGCCCGCATGGTCGTATGTCTGTGTTGTTGCGGGTCTATGTTGTGCGTTTTGTTTTTCTTTCTCCAGCGCAACATAGCGAAACCAAAGGGAACCCCGCCATTACACACACATGCATATCTCCAAGAGCCCCCAACATACCATTCGAGCATACCAACCCTCCAACATGAAAATTGATTTAGGGAACATCCGAGTTATGCTCAAAAGGTCTGCAGGGTTCTTGAAATGCATCCTCGGTACGTTTGGTAGTTCTTGGTTTTATATGAAGTTCGCTATGTTCAGTGGGATGACATGTAGAATCTACCCTCCCTCCCACGAAACGCACCTGTCGAAACGCGGCTGGAAGACAAATTCCCTCAAGGGATCGGGTTGTCTGGGAGGGTATATGAGAATGTGTCAAAGGGGTCCCAAGTGGCGGGCTTCCATTTTGGTTGTTTTCCCTTGAAACCCACCTCAAGATAGGTGCCTCAGAAAACACTTGCTCCTTTTCTCTTGTTGCGCAAGCTGCAGGCCAGACCGGGGCGGGGAAGAGCTATTCCATGGTCGGGTACGGTGCTAACAAGGACCGGGCACTTTGCTTCGTCCGCCCGTGCTCGCGCATTTTGTTTTTCTTGCTGATGCTCAGCAGGGAATGAGAAATGGAATGACCCTTATAAACCAACCCCTATGGTGTCCTCTATTCAGGCATCCCCAGGTTCATTCCCACATTCCCTACCTATCGCACCAGCAAAATATGTAGACAGGATATCCCGCCCCAAAAATTTTGTCCCGTCGTTTTCGTCTCTCAGAGCCTTCGGCCATGGGAAGGTGGAGTTAGCTGTTGCCTTTTTTCGAGGGTGCGGATGATGCGATAGGCAGGGAATGTGGTTGAATGCACCCAGGGATTACCTTAAAGGAAACCACCAGTTGGATGGTATATAATATAGGGGTTAATAACCATGTCTCATTCCTTACTGAGCACCAGCAAGTAACATGGAACCCGGAAAACACTAATTTGTAGATGAATATCGTCCATGTTAATTTGCAGAAGAGGTCAAAAGGGAAATGGCCACGATTTAGAGCTAGTTAAGCAGATCGAGGAGCCGCGTTTGCGGGTGTTTTTGGTTTTCCCTTTCAACTAGCAACACGTTTATCAACTGCAGACAAAGACATGGGCCTGGCTCAAAATTAAAGAGCTACAGTCAGTGGTACTGGACAAAGCTGGGAATTCTATTTCAGGTACCCCATAGGTAGGAATCATACAAACCACTAAACCATACCAAGAGGGAAGCTGGCTCTTCAGCCGCGTTCGACTAAACGGTTTCCAGCTTGAACGAGAATGTGTCTGTGTATCCATTTGAATCTATTTACCGCCGATTCGGGTCACCCCCAAACTCTGGATAAACCGCCTACCAACTGCAGGTTTTGGTACCACAAACTCTGAATTGGATAAACCGCTTACCAACTGTAGGTTTTGGCCACAAACTCTGAATTGGATAAACCACCCACCAACTGCAGGTTTGATTTGGTCCAGCGGCAGCGGCTCCGCCCGTAGATCTCGCTCGCTTCTCGCGGCCAGGGCATCGTCCCCATCTCCTGCGAAGAGATCTTCAAGCGGATCTGCGCGTGGAGTCCCGGAATCAAGGTCAAGGTGAGGTCTTGGAGACTAGGACCAGCCAGGTGCCCTTTTACCGCTTCTTTTTTTGGGCAGGGTTGTGGGAAATGGAATCCACTTCTGTGATACAACCAAAAGGGCTTCCCAAAGACTAACCCTCCACATAAAGGGGGAGATGCCCTTGTATCACAGAAGTGGGGATAAACCCCTTGATCCCACAACCCTGCTTTTGGGGGAGCGCTTTTGCTATACTCTTTGTTGGTTGGGAGGGGTCCAACCTACTAAAATAGACGGAACAACATGGGGTCCCAACTTATTCCAACCTCTCTACTGGAGGACCTAGGTACACTTGCTTGGGGTTGGCTTGTTTGAGGGCCCCCCGTTTGGTCGGTCTAAACGGGAAGCCAAAAGGAAAACCACCTAAACAAGACATCCACTTGCGGTTTAAAATGGAACCCAGAAACCAGTACTGTAGAGCAACCTCCTTTTGGGGTGTCCTTGTGTTTAGCAGAGTAGCTGTCAGAAAGGTTTGAGCTGAGCTCTGCGCTCAGAACCCTCACAAGATCACAAGGTTTTCCTTGCAAACCTTTCCTGGAGCAGGATAGGGGGCCTGGATCGCGCAAGGTTTCTTGACTTGGGCTTCGGTTTTTTACTCCTTGCGACAGAAAAAGGGAGGGAGAGAGAGAGAGAGAGAGAGAGAGAGAGAGAGACAGAGAGAGAGGGAGAGGGAGAGGGAGAGGGAGAGAGCCGGACCGATGGGGCTGAGGCCAACACAGATGCCAACCTCACCTACGAGGTCATGGTGTCCTATCCTCAGCGCAAACGGCTCTGGCAGAGCCCCTGGGATTTGAATTGTGTAAGGCCATGACTCTGTTCTTGCCGCTTGGTTCAAAAACTATTCACTGTTGTCCATCAACATGGAACCCGCCAGAGGCTCCCTTCAAAGGAACATCGTCTTAAACTCAGTTGTTCAGTGGCACCCGTTTTTCGTCCTTTTTTGGGTGGCTGCCCCACTGAAAATGGTCTTCCCCCAAAAAGGATCCCCTTTTTTTTCCAGGGTCACTGAACAACTGAGTAAAGGATCCTCCAGTCAGAGTCCATGAACAGGAGGGCTTACCGCCCACCAAAAAGCCGCGTCAACTCATTCCCACTCCAAGATGGGCTCTACCCGCAATGAGCGCTCGAATCCGCCGGGCGTTCCAGGTCACTGTTTGAAGCTCCAACTCCTGTAGCTACAGGGTTGTGGGATCACAAGGGGTTTCTCCAACCACTTCTGTGATAGGGAATCCCCTGTTTAAATGGGGGTGGTAGTCTTTGGGAGATCCGTTTTGTTCTTCTCGCAGAAGTGGGTTCCAGTTCCCACAGCCCTGTTTAGCTCCCTTCGATCCTGGCGACATGTGACGTTTTGGGGCAACCTCTCAGGTTTTCAAGGATCTTTGGCAGGACACCCGCGCCTTTTCAGAGCTCCGCTGGTTTCTTTTCGCGAGAACCATCCACTGCTTTTGGTCGCGGGGAGCTTCTCCCGCCGATGTTTTTCTTGTTTTTTCTTGTTCTCGGATGGACGCGAGGTCCATGGTGGAGATCTACAATGAGCAGGTTCAGGACCTTCAAGTTGCCCAGTGGATTCCGCCTCTTTTGTTCAGCTTTTTTGGGGGAAGGGTTCCGATTCCGCTAAGCTCATCGAACCAAAAGTGGATGCCCTCTTTTTCCCGATGGCCACTGGGCATCTGAGGTGAGATGAAACCGGCGCGAAGCGCGCAGTTGGTGTTCGATTCTTGACACGGAGAGACGGGCGGGCCACACCCATTTCTTGTTCACAGCTCAGTTAAAATGGAACGGATCACTTGTAGAGCCAATTCATTGGAGGTGTCTCAAAATGAGGGGCAGAAAATAAATGGGTGGTTTCGTTTTGGTTCCAACCAAAAGGGGTATACCCTCAAAGAAAGACACACCCAAGTTCCGTTTTGAGTTGTTCCTCGAGCAGCAAAGCGAAAGCGCAGGACCTCTTGGTGAGCCCTCGAGAGAGACCCAAGAAAGGCGGGTTCTGCGGCATTCTGCGGCACGTTTATTGAATGAAGACCCCTTCGCTGTGGTTGGCATTTGTTTAGGTTCCTGAAGGACCCATTGATACACAAATTTGTGCTCATTTTTACTGGGTGCAGGGAGGGTTGGAAAGACCCTCTAGGAGAAAAGAGCAGTCCAAACACTCTTGCTTGACTGTACGGTTGTTGACGGCATTGAAGGAAGACCTGGGTGTGTGTGTGTGTGTGTTTTTTGAAGTGACTTTTCCCTTTAAAGCCACAACACAGAGGCACTCGCAAGAATATACCGCACATAAACCCCACTCGCCAGCGCTTGGTTTTGTTTGGAGGCGGCGTGGTTTCCCCTAGGCCCAGAGCTGAAGAGCTCCCCACTCTTCCCATCCGGATCTTTCTGGAAAACCACCACACGCCCTCGAAGGGATCTGGTTTTTGAGAACAGGATGGCTGAGAATGGCTTACAGGAGTACCAAGCCCTGGCAACTAGTGGTGAACCTGCCTTTTTCCAAGCCACTCACCTCCAAAAGCCCAAGGAGCCGGGGCCTGGGAACCGCTCGATCCGCTCGAATGGTCCAGCGGCACGGCCCAAGGGCCCAAGGGCCCCGGAGCCGTTCGCAGGCCTGGAGATCCGAGAGTCGCAACAGCCGCGCGCCGGCGGAGGGGCGGAGGGGGAGCGCGGGGAGCGCGGAGAACTCGCTTCGGAAGCATGCACCCGATAAGCGTTTGGTTGGTTTCAAAGGGAAGCCACAAGGAGATCTAAGGGAAATCGGAAAAAAAATGGGTGGTTTTCTGCGAATCGGCCGGTTGTCAATAGGTTCTTACGTATTTGGTTAAGGTTGAGTGGTTGGGTTTTCCATTTGAGGTACCTCAATTTTGAGGTGCCCTGGGTCACGTCCCCGGTTTTCGTTCGATGAAATATGACAGTGAATCTCCAAGGAGTGGGGTGTCCAGCGTGACATTTTTTTTTGAAGATAATCTTCCATTTGCTTTTGAATATGTTTGTATTTTCCCCTCTTGGCTTTGAAAGGAATCTATCACTAGTGATCTTCCATTTGCTGAAATGATTTTATTTGAATTTTCCCCTGTTGGGTTTAAAAGGAATCGATTTCACTGCTGGAAATATGTGATTTCTTTTCAGGGGCTTAAGCAAATGGCGGCGGTTGGGCGGAAAGTCCCATTAGGTCAAAGAGCAGAGAAGCACAGACTTGGAAACTGAGAGGCAAAACGCCTCGGACAGTTTCTCAGCTAGGTCCCCCAGCTAGGTGCCCTTTCTCATCCTGTGTTGGGGGAGGGTTCCCCTAAGTCGACTACAGAAAAAATAGGGTACCAACTTATTCTGACCTCTCGACTGGAGGACCTAGTCAGAGCCCTTCTCTCAGAACCCCCCTGGTTTAGCAGGATGCGTCTTTCTTCAGGTTGGGCCCCCGCCCAAAAGCCGCTTGCAGCCTCAAAACAAAGACGAGGTTCGGTGGAAGAGATCTGGGAGACACCCCGGGGGGGAGGGATCCATGTGGTTTTTTCAATGTGCCATGATCAAAAGTCCGGTTTTTGTGGGGGTTTGCGTTGGTCATCCACCTGGGATCCTGAACCATTTTGACATTTTGATGGCTCCTATCGACCAGGACCCAGTCGCCCATATAAGGAGTTCTGGACCATGGCTCACATGTTTTTCTTTCGTGGAGGAATGGGCACCTTGTTCCCCGATCCTTGGACTGCAAAGAATTGGACGGGTTGGTGTCTAAAGATTGGAGACCCCCCCTCATGGGTTGCTTCCGGTCACGGTTGCCCCTTGAACCACCTGAGCAACCCCCTGTATCATCGTGTGGGCGTTTTGGAGGGACCTCTTTGGGTTGCATTGAATAAGGAAGGGTTACGTAAGTACTCCCGGAAAAGACACGCCCAATGTTGCTTTCTGGCTACCATCGTTCTTTCCAACCCTCTCGCGCAAGGTTTCCTTCATCCCGCGCTCACAAAGGAAACCTCAAGTGGCGATCGTTTCAATTGACCCACCATTAAATGGATCAACTTTGGGGGAAATCCTGGGTGCCCCCTGGGTGGTTTTCTACGAAGGAACCCGCGAATCTTCCATTGATTATTCGTTGAGAATATGTTTTATTGTCCCCTGTTGGTTTGAAAGGGAAAACATATAAACTGGACATATCTTTATTTGTTCAGGGGACTTAAGCAAAAGGAGGGATAGAACATCGGGTATATAATTTTGAGTTGGTGATTTGGATTGGGGGTTTGGGGATTTGAACCCCTGGCGTTTGTAGATTGTGAATGGGAAACCCCTTCGGAACACCGCACCAAACCACTGATTCGGCACCGAGAACAAGGGAACTTTCCTGGGTGTCCTTTTTAGTTGTTTTGGTAGAAAAATAGATGGCCCTGGTTTACCTGGTGGCCCCTAAAAGGACACCTATGGGAACTTACCCGCTCGGCGGGACGAGCGAGCGAGGTTGGGCATTTACATCGCCGGCGTGTGTCGCCGGCCGGTGGATTCCTACTCCTCCATCGAGGCCCGTTGGAGAGCCTCTGGCGCCAAAAAGAGGAATTTGTCCATCTGAAATGAGTGTCTTTATTTGACCCTTTTGGTTTTAAAGGGAAGATGTTCTCATTTTTCCAGTGGACTTAAGCAAATGGAAGAATTGGACGCCGAATGCAGGGTTTGCTCCATGTGTCTTTTTGGAACCTCCCAAATGGCGATCGTTTCAATGGACACCACTAAAGGCACAACTTTCAAGAACAAATCCAGTGACCCTTGGGACTCCGATTCCGCAGCCGTAAGCTGGGGCCATGTGTTTGTTTGAAGCTTAGAGGGTCCAAAAAGTATCATTGGTGATGTTGATCAATGAAGGTTGATAAAATATGAGTGGCAAAATAATTTCTAGCAGGCCCTGCTTCAACATGGCTCCAGGAGCGAAGTTTGAAGGCGATCCTTTCGGCACTTACATCCTAAAATATTGCGGGCCTTCAAGGCATGCCAAAACCCCAGAATATTTTTCTGTGTTGCATGTTGCTTGAATGTTAGGACTTTAACTTGTTGCCAACTAGTGGGTTTTCCATTCAACCACCAAAGGTTAAACTTTTAGCAGGGGAGCAGAACGCATCCGAGTTTTGATCAACCAAGTCAATTTGTCATTTGTCCCTCAAGCTAGGTGTCGACGTTCTTTTTCAACCAAGGCTCAGTTGTTCAGTGGCACCCTTTTTCCCCCTTTTTTTGGTGGCTGCCGAGCAAAAAAATGGTCTTCCCCAAAAAGGGTTCGATTATTTGTTTGGAGTCACTGAACCAACTCAGGAGGCAATCCCCTACAGACTGGTGGCGATCTGTTCATCCGGGTTCGTCAAGAGGTCAGCACCATGCACCGGGCCGGCCGGGGAAAGGGCGAGCAAATCACTTGAGCAACAGGAGGCCGAAGATCCGTGTCTTGCGAAGCTTAAGAACCAGGCGATCGGCTGAAGGGATTCCCCCACGATGTGCCCTGGATGGGATGTGTTACAACAAAATTGCACGGTGGGCTAAGCACCACGGTGTTTCTTTGTTCCCTCAATGGGTAGGAGGTGTTTGGCTTCAACTGGTTGCGTGGGGATTGCTTCGTGGAGTTTTGACCAACTCATGTGCCCGAAGCGAATCGATATTTTCCCCTTTTTGGTTTCCCAGCTGTTTCTGCGGTCCCTTGCGATCGGAAAAAGTCCAAAAGTATCTTTCCTCCCAAGCCGCCAGCCCTGGAACAGGCGCGAGCGGTTCTGATCGATACGGATTGGAACGTTTTGGTTCCGGGAGCGTTTTCGACTGAGAAGAACATTCTCGTGAAAAGGGGGTGAATTTGTCCACTTCCAGGATTGGAGAACGGTCGGAAAGAGGCTCAGCAGACTTGTGGAAAATGGGGGGGGGGGGGTTGGTTGGTTGGTTGCCAGCTTCTTTGGATCCACAGAAATCCCTAAAGTGACTTAAAGTAGCCACAATTGGCCCACTTTGGCATCAAGGCCCCCCAGTGCCCTTTCTCACCCTTCTTTTGGGGAGGGTTCCAACCTACTAACATAGACTACAGAAAAGAATCGGGGTACCCTATTCTAAGCTCTCTACTGGAGGAACTGGGCATTACGGGATTGGGTTCTTTCTCACTCTCCAGGCGGTGGTGGATGAAGGAACGGAGAATCGGACGGTGGGCTCCACCCTGCAACCCGGCGAGACATATTTTGGGCATGTCGCAACATGACCCTCCTGTGGTCCCCCAGTAGTGCCCTTTCTCACCCTTTTTGGGGGAGGGTTCCCCTACTAAAGTAGACCACAGAAGAAAAAAAATCGGGTACCCTTCTTCTAACCTCCCAAACTGGAGGACCTAGAAAAGGTGTCTTCGGGGAGGGTCTTCGGAAGATCAAGTTCGTCTTTTGGGGACGATGTGAGGTGCCATCCTGGTGGGATGGGCAAGAGTGTTGGGTAGGAACGACCAAAAACGGTTGGTTCTCTTTGGTGTTCCTTCAAAACAGCTCCCCCAAAGGGGTTGCCCTACAGGGCGATGTTGAGCAATCTCTGAGCAGGAATGGACGTCTACTGTGAGCTCCTTTTGTTTGATTGCTTTGGCTCGTTTCCCCTTTTGCTGTGCCATGAGGGGATGAACACGCAGTATTTACAGCAGCTGTTTGCATCTTGTTTGACCTGCTTGGCACCTGTCAGCCCATGCTCATTCATTTCAGACGCAGCGTTCTTCTCTACGTGAGTTAGTTTATGTTTGCATTAGCCTAAGCATTGTTTGCGAACCATGGCGCCCGTTACTCCAGGTACCCTCGAGGGAAAATCAATGCGCAACCATGTCCGTGTGACCAGGGGTCACGGGCAGCCTTTGTAAGAATGTTTTCCCATAATTGGCAAGAGTAGGTTTCATTTGATCTTGTCCTAGTTCTTCTGTGGCGCCTTTTCCCCTTTTTCCCAAGCCGTTTGGTTTGTCGGGCTCACGGTCGATCCCAAACAGAACAGGTCTTGCTCTACCGTTGGTTGCAACGTCCGCCACTCGAGCTCAGGATGAACGCGACCTCCAGTCGAGCTGCTGGCTCGGGCAGTTTGGGGAGTCTGGGGTTCGAGGTGTAGAAGAGCCTATCTGACCGCGGCTAAGAGCCCGGGTGATTTTTTCCATAGGGCTCATTACAATTGTTGCGGGGTTCCTCAGAATCAAGTTAGGTCATGATCAGAGCAACATGCCAGCAATTTGTCTGTCATATTATGTTCCTCGGGATGGTAAGCATCTTCAAAGTTGAGGATCACTCACAATGGCTGCTCTTATCTGTTTCTTTGGCGGTTGAAGCATCACCTTGTTGCCAACTGCAGTGCCAATCATAGCAACTTCACCTCGGAAAAACCAAGCTTGCCTATGATGAAGGCAGTTTTGATGAGAGTGGCTACACTGTTAGGAGAGCCTAGTTGGCCAACTCTGCTATATAATGCCATGAGGCGAACACCGCTGTTCCTAGTCAACCAGAACTAACAAAGACTACAGGTACTTACAAAGATGTTTGCTTTTGAGGGGTTGCCGATTTCCTGCTAGTGACTTGTGGCAATTGCTTTGGGTAAATCATGCCCAACCAATATGAGATCATAGGGATCCCTCATGTTGGTGACAATTCACCCCATTGCTTTACCCCAAGCTGTATTCTCCTTTGGGTGCATGATGTGCTCTTTGGCCAAAGCATCCATCGACAGATCCCCGGGCTCCGAATTTTTCCCAATCGCGGGGCGGTGAAAACTGGAGTTTGTTTAATAGGCATCGCACCCCCGAAGTGGCTTCGGTCCCCCGAAAAGGCCTCGGTCTTCCTTTGGATTCCCCTTAAAGTCCACAAAACCAGGGGTACCGAGCCTCAAACAAAAGACGAGCCATCCACATGGGGGAACCTCAAGATTGGCGCCAAGAGCAATGCCACTCTGCTGCCTAACATTCCTGTAGTTCAGTTTCCATGAGGGTTTGAGCAAAATGGAATTGGGTGTTACATAGAAATTTCAGGGTTTTGTGTTTGGGTCTTCACGTTCGCCCGGATGCGCTGAGAGCTCGAGGCTCACACGGTGTTGACCATCGAGTTCAAGCAGGTCTCGCAGGCAAGAAGTTCGCGGCTCGCATTGAGAGAGCCGAGAGTTGCAGGGGATGCGAGTTATGGAATGACCCGAAGAGGAAAAAAGCCACGCCAACTTATGGCTTCTTTTATTGAGACGGATGGGGACAGTCAGCTACTGATTGAAGAGGGCAACGTCAAGGTATCTCACCTCAACGCCTTGCTTCGACCTTTTCTAGGTCCCCCAGCTATGTGCCCTTTCTCACCCCTTTTTTGGTTGCGAGGGTTCCAACCTACTAAAATAGACGACTGAAAAAAGTTGGTACCCTTATTCGAACCTCTCTACTGGAGGACCTAGGAAAAAAAGCCACGCCAACTTGCGGCTTCCTTCAAGGGAAGGTGATACATGTTCCATCCCCCGATTTGGTTTCCTTTAAGGGAAGGCAGGGAGGGAGGGAACGATTTGGAATCCCAGGTTCGGAAAACACCCGATTTAAGCAATGCAACTGGGCTGGTTTCCTTTCAGGGGCTCCCAAAAAAAAGGCAGGCGAAGGAGGAATGGAATGACCATGAGTGGCCCCTATAAATAATCCTCTATGGTGTCCTCTCAGGAAAACCGCAGGTTCATTCCGCTATATGCTTGGTGGGCTCAACCAGCCATCTGGTGCAACTTAGCTTTTTAGGTGCTTTTGGATGGTTTAGTGGTCGGGCTTCCCAATTTACCCACTAAAAGCTACTCGCTCTTAGCAGATCTGAAGACAGCCCACTATGAAGATGTGCGAAGTTCATTCCCAACACCCGGGCTCGGTCCCCTACCTATCGCACCAGCAAGTCATTGAGTTTCAATGGAGCCTTTGGGCCCTTCCCTCTGCGCTTCAGCATATTTTCGAAATTTTGGATAGTTGTCTCGAGTTTGTAAGATCCCTCACAGGACATATTGTGGACTCAAGCAATTTGAAGGACATCCTTCGGAGGTTGCCCAACAGCCATGTCGGAGGTGCCCCATTTGGAAGTGTTCCTTTTGGTTTCCGTTCAAACCAAACCGGATTTCAGGCTACTAAAAGCAGACGAACGCATTTGGACGTTGGTTTCTGCGCGCGGAAGCACCCAACACTTGGGGAGAAACAAACAACATTTGCATGTCAAAACAGGGCCACACCATTGTTCACTTTGCTTTCCCTTTAAACCACGGTGAAAAGGATACCATTCCAACACACACACACACAAATTGCTATGAGTCCATGTTGGGGCTCTATTATCCAAACTGGTTTCTCAAGAGGGTCCTTAAGGCACATCCTGCTTCGGAGACTGGACCACTTGTTGCAAGGGGAATCCGAAACTCCAGGAACCCAACCAACTAGCGGTTTCCTTTTGGTCGAGTCCATCGGGTAAGCCTCACAGAAAAAGGGAAGGGTGACGTGAGACCCATGTGCGGTTACGTTGCCAATCCTGAGAGGTGATCACATGTTTATTCCTTAAATTAGCTTCAGATCAGCCAATCAACATGGGGTACTTTTCCCCAACAGCTGAAGGCTATGGGGTCTCCGGGTGTTTACCCAAGCTCCAAGAGCCAGCCCCTATCAATTTCTACCCCGCCCCTTGTTTGGCCCTTTGTCCCCCCTTCGGTCATTTTCACGGCTTCAAAACCCGCTTGAGCGCGGCGTGTTTTCGTTTTTTCCAGCATCCCCGCAGCCTCGACGTGTCTCGCGAGTCACGTCTCCAGGAACGTCGCGTCACGAGTCGCGGCGCTCGTTGGACCGCAGGCGGCGGGGCAGCAGGGCCAGAAGCTGTCGCTCATCAACCTGGTGGACCTGGCGGGCAGCGAGAAGGCCACAGCCCCACTCCAGCCACCACCCGATCCCCCGCCCGCCGATCGCCCGTTCGCTGTGCGATGGATGGATCGGTTGGACTAGGTCCCCCTGCAATTGGTGCCCTTTTTAACACCCCTTTTTTGGTTGGGAGGGTTCCCCTACTACCCCTTTTACCATTTTTTGGGGGGGAGGGTTCCAACCTACTAAAATAGACTACAGAAAAAAATCGGGTACCAACTTATTCGAACCTCTCTACCGGAGGACATAGTTAAGGTGAGCTTGACTGGCTCAAGCGAGAAAAAAAAAGAACGAGTCGGGTAGAAAAGGAGGGTTAAGGGGAGATCCCCTGGCCAGAAATGGGCAGCCGGCAATGCCGCCTTTTCTGAAAGCCGTGAAGCACGGGTCTGGGTCGCGACCAGTTTAATACTTGTTTTTTGTGTGTGACTCATCCCACCCCCAAAAAAAGTGGAAGGAAAAAGCAAAAAGGCACCCTCAAACAAAAGACATATTTCTAGAAGCCCAAGACCCGAAAGGAGGGCCTTGAGCCCTCAAGGGCCTCAAAAACTTCTAGGGCTTGATTCCCGCGTGTTTTCACCCATTGTCTTTCCAAAACCAGATCAAAACCGTTTTCCCGGACTTTTTGGTGGTTTTCTGGAAGGAAGCATCCCTGGAAAGACTGGAAATGGAAGGTAGCCCTAGAAACCTGACCCGAAAGACTTGGGATTTGAGGCAGACACCAGATCAAAGCCGTTTTCTTTCAGGGTGTTTGGTGGTTTTCTAGAAAGATCCGGATCCTTAGACTGAGCCCCTGGGCTCCTAGGGGACCCAAACCCCCGAGAGCGCGAGCTTTGGCCGTCGGCCGGCCGCGCGTGGCAGGCGGGCCAGACCGGCGCCAGCGGAGATCGCCTCAAGGAGGGCTGTGCAATCAACAAGTCATTGCCGGCCGCCTCAGCGTTCCGCGGGGACAAGTCGGAAATGAAAAATCCAAAGGCCCGGCGGCTCTTGGGATGATGTAATACCTTTTGTGTGGTTTTGTGTGGGTTTGTTTGGTTTTGGTTGGTTGAAGTTTGGTTCGCTTGGTTGAAGTCTTGTTTCATGCATTCCAACTTTCCCCCAGGGAATGAGTTGCATGGAATGACACCCTGAACTAAGCAATCCCACCGGTGTGTGTGTGTGTGTTTTTGTTCGGGATCCCAAAACGGTCAAATTCCCACATTCCCGGAGCACCAGCAAGCTTCGGAGATGGACAAAATCTAAACGCCAGGCGCTGGTCAGTTGTCTTTTTGAAAAAGCAACCTTTGGAATTCATGCATTCCAGCTTCCACCTTTTTCATAGGGCTCCCCCAATGCATTCCAGCTACAGGGCCTGTGGCATCTTGATTGGTCCGCCAGGATCGTGCCGTTTCTCACGCTTTGTTGGTTGGGAGATTCAGTTCCAACCTAGTAAAATAGATGCCCCCCCCCAAAAAAAAACGGGGGAAAAAAAAACGGGTACCAACTTCTAAGCTCCAAAACTGGAGGGGTTAGTTCCCAAGGTTCCAAGCACAACGACACTTTGTTGGGGATGACACTCGAAGCAAAACGACACCTTCCACCCACCCAGGCGTCCACCGACCCAACCGCGGCGTGTTGATGGCACTTGAGATGTAGATGGGAAAAAGCAAGGAATGTAGATGTAGATGCAGATGGGATGTAGATGTAGATGTAGATGGGATGTAGATGGGATGTGGATGAGATGTAGATGGGCAAGTTGGGGGGTGTTGGAATGGGGGGGCCGTTATGCTTGGCTTGAATAGAGATCAACAGAGTCCCACGTTCAAGCATGCGGCAAACTATCACAGGTCCAGAGAAAGATAATCAGCGTTTGGCTGGCATTGCACACAGACTGTGCTGCTCAACGGTAAACCTAAACCTAATCCTTCCCAAAAAACCCAAAAAGGATCCCGAAGTGAATTCCCACTGTGGATCCGGGTTGGCCTCCATTTTGAACAGCCCAGATTGACCTGAACGTTGGGCCGCGAAGGGAAACTGGTGTGCACTGACCGGGCCGGCTGCTGATTGATTGCGTGTGCAAAGTTTTGCATGTTCCCAAGAGGAGCATTTGACCTCAACATATGCATTTGGGTGTGTCTTTGTTGGAGGCTACCCATCTGTTTGTGGTTTTGAAGAGAAACCAAAAGGAAAACCACCCATCCGGTTTTTGAAAAGAACGGGCCACTTCCCCATTCTTTCCAGGGATTCTTCATTCCAGAAAGCCATCAGATCCCCAATATAAACGGCCGGTTTTTGGAAAGAACGATGGTTGAAAAGAATGGACAAGGAATCAACCCGTAGAATAATTGCCAAGCTGCAGGACTTCTTTCTCGATCTCAAAAGGGGCTTTCGGTGCACAGATCATGCCCTATGCATGGTTGTTGTTGGGAAACATTTTACATGTTTGGCTTATTGTGGTTTAGTGGGAAACCCCCACTCAATTTCAATGTTTGCTCTCCTTCCAACGTCAACCAAGTAATTAGCTACAACGGGAGGGCCCCCTATGAACAATAATAATTGACTTCATTTACCAACCCTAAGGCTCATGACCCCTCCTATGCAGGGCCCCGCCTCCAATGAAGAACCCGGACCTCCCAGGGGCCCTTGAAAACAACCCATTTTGAGTCCCCAAAAAAGCATCGGGAGCCTTAATCCCAGCCTCTGTGACCAGCAGCCACAAATTCCGACGCAAACGCGAACGTGGCCCTTGCCTCAACTCAGCCTCTGACCGTCGCACCGTTGCCCCAAATTGGTTGTCCCTCTAATTTTCGGGCTGAAAGGGTGCAGGGCTCCTTAAAAGATCGATACATGTTGCAACCAATTGAAACAGGTGTATAATGCATCCGGATCCCTGATTTAAAAAGGGTCGACACATTTTCCTTTGTAGCCACACCAAAAAGAGTGCCCTCGAAGAAAAGACAAACCCCAAGGGAGCTGGGGGTACAGTATCCAATATTGCTTTTAGAGGGGAAGTTAAAGAGCTAAAGAGCTACCAGCAGTTCTGCAAGGATATGGTAGTTTGATAGCCGTTGGGGCGTCTCTGCGGATGATTTTGTGGGTATTGATCTTCAATACTGGTGCCCCTATGACGTCGAACGCGATGCATGCGGCTGGCAACGGCCCGCCAGTGGCGCCTGCGCCAGCGAGGTCTGCCCTCGGTAACGTGATCGAAAAGTTGGCCGACAAGGCCCGCCCGGCCGGACAGACATGCAGAGGCACACAACACACACACACACACTCACGTGTCTGCTTTGTTTGTGTTTGGGTGTGTGGGGGTGTGGGGGGTGTGGGGGTGTGAGGGGTGTGGGGGTGTGGGGGGGTGTGGGGGTGTGGGTGTGTGGGTGTGTGTGGGGGTGTGGGGGTGTGGGGGTGTAGGGGTGCAGGGCGGTGTGGGGGTGTGGGGAGGTGTGGGGGTGTGGGGGGTGTAGGGGTGTAGGGCGGTGTGGGGGTGTGGGGGTGTGGGGGTGTGGGGGTGTGGGGGTGTGGGGGTGTGGGGGTGTGGGGGTGTGGGGGTGTGGGGGTGTGGGGGTGTGGGGGTGTGGGCGCGCTTGCTTGCTTCAGGTGTAAACAACATGTTTCGCTTTTTGGGGTTGACCTAAAGGGGAGCCAACAGGAAAGCCTTTTTGCGGGGTCCCCCTAAAAGGACACATATCCATGCATATTGGGCCAGACAAGAAGCAGCCTCCCTCCACTCATGGAAGCGGTTTGGGCGAACTTTCCGAAACCCGGGAGTATGCGACTCGTGGGGGTTTGCCCCCTCCCCCCCCGCCATTTTTCTCCCTCTCCCCGTATTTTTTCCTTTGGTCGATTTGCCATGCGATTCAACGGCCATCTGGTTTTCGGGCTGTAGGCCTGTAGGCTGACCGATATGTCTCGGGCTTTGAAATGACCTCACCCAGACTAGACGCAGCTTTCTGTTCCAGGGAATCCGCATTAGGTTGGGGAAGTCTTCATCCAGAGTGCCCCCGGGGTGGCCCTGGATCCTCATCATGGTGGCAGAGTGAGTATTCTGTATGAAGGCCCCATGGTTTCCTTCTCAAATGATACATGGCTATGAGGTTGAAGGGTTGGAACCACCCTGAACAGAGCCTGGTGGACATAACAAATCCCCACCTAAAGGATGTCCACCAATGGGTCCCCAACCAAAATTCATACCCAAATCTCCAAATGTGTGCACATATGGCCATAGGTCAAATTCCGTACCCCCAGTGAACGTCCCAATCCCCACTAACATAGGCTCTAAACTGGGTGGTGCGCCGAAACCCCCCAAAAGTGGTGCTCCCAATCCCAACTAAAATAGACTAAAATTGGTGCCAAAAAGGGACCCCATTGGTTTGAACCATGGCCATATGTTTTTCGTGTTTGTGCCATCCGTCCAGGCCATGGGCAAGGCCAAGGCGGGCGTCCGGAGCCCAGAGCCTTGCGCAGCCCGCAGCGTCCGAGGGCTTGAGGGCGTGAGGGGGGAGTTCTCCAAAGGCTCGGAGCACGTTTCTTGGGAAACCGCTTCGAGGGAAACCGGGCAGGGAAAGACATTCCTTCGGCATTTAGTCTATGACTGCATCTAATTTTAGTTCTGTGCTTGTCTGTTGGGGGGCTCCCAACATGGGATTGGTCAAGGGAAACTAAAGGAAGCCATTCACTTTGATTGGCTTTTCGGACCTCTTTTTTGGTTGGCATCTCAACTTGGCGGTTCCCAGTAGTTGTTTTTAGGTTTTTGAGGTTGCGGATTGAAATTCCATGCTAGCAAGGGGTTTGAGGACAGCCCAGTCAAGCCAAAAGACCTGCATCCACTTTGGCTGCCCCTAAGGACATGGACTTTCCAAAAGTGGTTTTCGATCCTTTCAACGGGGTTCCACTGGTGAATGGATCAACTTCGGTTTTGGGAGAATCCAGTGACGCATAGTGACCCTGTTTTTGCTTGGCATTTCAAGGGACACCAAAAGGACGCAGACTCCACTTTGGTTGGTTTTTCCCTGCCAGCTTGATTCATCCAAGCTTCAAAGGCTCCCCTTCAGGGTTGGGGGCAAAATTTGTTCAGCCTTTGGTCCCCTTCCATGTTTCATCCAGGGTCAATATTAGATTTGCTTGATTTGGTTACATCCGGTTGTAAGATGAATTTAAGCTTGGTCACATCTTGGTCTGTTGCATTCATTTGGTCTCACTTGCCCAAAGTCGACCTTTAAACCGTTTGGTTCCAAGCGATTTGGTCCACAGTCAAGGTTCCAGGCGATCGTATCGTTGATGTCCGAGTTTTGTGTGTAGCTGAGCGGTTGATGTGGGCTTGTCTTTTTTTTTTCCGGGGACCCCCCCCAAAAAAAATATATGGTGATCTTGTTCCTACTTTCGGTTTCCCTTATAACAAAAGCCACCAAGAACAGGGGGTACCAACTCAAAAACACTGACAGACCCAATGTGTTTCACGTTTTCCTGTTGGGATCACAACGAGTTCTCCGGGTCCCACGAGGACCCCGGACGCATCGAGGAAAACCCGCCGAGGCCATCATCCCCTACCGCGACTCCAAGCTCACGCGGCTGCTGCAAAACGCCTTAGGCCGGGATCCCGATGCTTTTGGCGGGTTCGGGGCCTCAGTTGTTCAGTGGCACCCATGTTTTTCCCTTCTTTTTGGTGGCTGCCCCACTAAACATGGTCCAAGCCCCAAACAGGGGTCCCTTTTTTTTTCAGGGTCACTGAACAACTGAGGGGCGTTGGGTTCGGGTTCTCTTGGGGGATATGGCGCTGTTGCATCAAGAGCTGGCTTGAAGGGAAGCAACATTGGGTATGGTTTCAGATGGAGGAGCTTCCAAAGCGTTACAAAGTGGGTTGCAACTTGGGTTTCTTTTGAACCAACCCCGAAATGAGTACTCCAAAGACAGACACCCATTGCCGGTCCCAAAATGCCCCATTTTGAGCACGGGCAAACAGATTGGTAGTCTACTCTTTGCCAGTGTCACGCATTTATGCCGGGCACTGCGCCCGGAGATGCCGGGGGAAACCAAAAGAGAAGGTAGTCCACTCTTGGCTTGGGGATGACAAATGGGGGGACAACCAAGCAAAGACCCCATTTTTTTTCCCAGGGGCACCTTCCATGTCCATTCTTTCCAGGGAGCCGCAAGCCCGGGGAAAACGGATCCGGCTTTGGAAAAAGAAGGATGGTTGAACAGAATGGACAAGGAATCAACCCCTAGAAAAAGCTGAAATCTTCGCCAGGAACTTCAAAACCAGAGGGAAATACGGAAAGAAAGACCAGGCAGCTCGACACGAATCAACCCCTAGAAATTGTCCCATGTCCTTTTGGGAAGCAAGAGTATCCCGGGCTGTCACACGCTTCGCGCGAGAAGGACGAGAGATAATTTTGGCTGTGCTCGCCGCCCGCCGTGAAACGAATTCGGAACAAGGTTTTAGGATCAGTGGGTTTCGTCCCATTTGTTTCTTCCATTTAAGTTTAAGGATATATTTCTTCTTCACCCCTGTTGGCTTTAAAGGGAATCGATTTCACTACTGGCATGTGTTGATCATTTT